AGGACAGAGAGGTTAATGACTGATAACAGTTTAAAAGGGAAAAAAAACTTTTAAGGGCTACACAATAATTAATGTAAACATACATCAAAGTCTTTCCATGTCTAAGCTTTCATAAAGGGTTTACGTAGAAGCTTGTTCCTCAACAATGGTATTATTCCACATCTAAACAACTAATAAACTGTATAGTGTCATCTGTTGAATCAAAACTGATTGGCAAGATTATCTGGTTTTACTACTAGGAAGGTCTTGATCATTAATCACACCTCCACAGAAAGGAGCTGGATTGAGTCTCTTATGGTTGTGACAGTTTATTACTATTGATGTTTCTGGAAATCACCCTCCCCCTTTTCTCAATTAAAAATATGTACTTTTTTTTTTTTTTTTTAAAAAAAAAGGTTGATACTTTATTGAGTGGAACTCGTAACATCTAAAACCAAGCAAATATAAACTGGCAGGGAGTGCACATAAGACATAGGCTGATGTTAACAAAAATGATATACATAGAACTAAAAATCAGAGAATGGTTTGAAAGAGGGAAGGTTATAGTATTAAATCAGCATGAAGAGTAAAGGATTAGTTAGAAGGATTTGCCATAGAGCTAAAGGTTGGCTATTTTGAATGTCAAGGAGATGAAAAATGAAATTGGGGGACAATTGAAGGAGTGGAATGAGAAAGAAGATGAAAAAGATTTCTAGTTTAAGTAAAAAGTCTCCAAATAGTGATAGGGACACAGACTAGAAGAGAGGTTGCTTTTGGAGTCTAGTTCTGATGACACAAACCATGCAGGAGACTATCTCAATTCAGAAAGGCAAGAGGTGAGACTAGAATAATAGAGATGTTAAGATAGGCAGTTATGAATTCCAGTATAGTAGTTAAATTTATGGTCAGAAAATACTATGGAAATACAGAGTGAAGCTGTATATTTTTTCTTTTCATCCACTTTGCTTTTAAAATCTCTTACCCATGCTCTCTCTGTTTTCCTTTCCCTTTATTATTTTAAGTATTCTCATTCAACCATATCTTTTGAAAAATTCAAGGAAAAGCAGGTATGATTAAGGGCTAAAATAAACCCTGTAGAAGACTCTTAATCGCTTCAGAAAACATATTAGCTTACTTTGCACTGCCTTTTTTTGCTTTATAGATGCCAAGAGAGGATTAATCTATAAAGTCTTTGTTTGCGATTTTGCCTTTTATTTCAGTTTATATAATTAAAGAGTTCCCAGGACTACTTTATATTTCTTTTGTTCATCAAAACATACTTCTCAAATGTTATGAAAATGGAGTCCAAAAATAATGCAGTCCAAACCAAACCCACTGAATTTTCTCTTGGAATGCAGTCAATTATAAAGTCATACCTTGTGTCTTTTTAACTGAGTAAACACTGTGTTGTCCCTTAATGTATAATTCTTTAGTGTTCACTTTATATTCTCCCACTTCAGTGCTTGACAATATCATGGTGATGCTTGTAGCATACAATAAGGATTAATATGGTTATTTCACAATTCCTGTTTGAGGATAAAATTGCAGGATGAATTGAGGATCTGCACTGAAGTCACAGAGGTCTCCTGGGGTTATTCTCTGTGTATGCTTACATTATGACAGAAAGGAAAGAGAGGGTTAGGAACCTGTATTTTGATCATTAACTTGTTGAAAGATAGGGGAAAAAAAAAAGTTAAAGTAGCAAAAATCAAAACAGTGTGTCTGTTGTTGAGGTTATGGGAAAAATGGATTTTGTCCCAGCTGATCATGTCGTTGTCCTGTGCACAAAAAAAGGACCAGAGAGTGACTTTAAGAAAGTAGTTTTCATAGGGACTTGAATATTTTGTCAAAACAGAGGGCACCTTTTAGTGTTGCAACTCCATCCTGCAGTGCATGTGCATGTTGTGCATCTTACTGTTTAACCCATGTTAGTAGGTAAGAATTTATTTTTCTTCTCTCAAAACCAAACCCTTCCCCAGCTTTACTGTAAACAGAGAACAGAACTTTGAAACTTATCTTTTTTCTATGAATTCTCATTAGAAAACTGAGATGTGCACCCAGGAAAGCTGGAAAAGTAACTTAAAATGTCAGTGTGTAGCAGAGGAGTGCAACAGCAGAGCCCTTTCCATCACCAAGCTGTTAATAGGCATGCATTTGAAGAGGTGCTGCAAGTAAGCTGCAGAATCTGCCAGAAATATCCCTTCAAATTGAGAATGGGATGTGCACACTAAGAAAGACATGTAAGAAGACAGGAGAGTTAGCACTCTACAGCTCTGGGAATGGAGCTGATTAACTAGAGCTTTTGTTCAGACTGTCTAATGACAAGATATTCTGGTAAACAACCAGGTTAAGTTTTTCGTTGGCTGAAGAGGCAATGTCCTACAAAGGACTGAACCAAAATGAAAGAGCTTGAAGTTTTAACTAAATGCAATTATGCACCTTCTGATATTTAGAGTCAGCAATTAGGCAGTCAGTGGATGTCAAAAAAACCATTGGTCCTGTTTGGGTCAAACATAGAGTATTTAATATAAAAATGAAAAATGATGCCAACTGTATCAGGACATGTTAGGAAATGACCCTGATCTATGCAATTGTGTAAACCAGCCTTTTTTTGTGCACCATCCCTACAGTTGGAAGAGTGATGGTATCACTGTTAGGTGCAGCAGCTCCCAGCTCAGTGGCAAATTGAGAGTCACCATTTGGGAGTCACAGTTGTAAGACAGCACAGTCCCTTTGCATCAGCATCATGTGTCCTATACTTGTGGTACAGATGCAGCAAAAAGGAAGCAATATTGGGAATGAGTGTGGCTGCTCAGGGGAATGTGAATTGCAGTTTCTTTTTCCTGGATGTTCCCGCTCACATCCAGACCATTGACTTTGGAAAGGTTAAAATAGCAATGTAAGAAAGTTCAATTTCCACAAGCATTAGGAGTAAGTTACTTTAGCCAAATGTTAGTCAGACACTCTGCAGCCTGTGGTCCAAATGGGTTTTGTATTTGAACCACTGAAATATATCCATGTGAAATAATCTAAGGCAACGTGTTGCAAAAGGAATCCTCGTGCTGAAGCTACTCTTTGGAGATACTCAGTCTGTGTTGCAGTGGTGAGGAGTGTAACAAAGGACAATGCTTGTATCTTCGTAGGGATGTTGTGTCCTCATGTTACATTACAGAACCATGCACTGAGCAGGACAAAAAGAACAAAGGCATGGCTCTGAAGCCATGCTCCTTTGAAAGTATGATACAACCAGAAATTTTGATGATATTCTTCAGTAGGCTTTCCTTAGTAGGGAATAGTAAGAAAAATGCTGCAAAAAGTTACTAAAGTTGTTAACAATATTTTACCAAGAATGCTAGTCTACCTGGATCCTTATTTTGATCCAGTCTGGCAGTTTCTGTGTTCCCAAGATAGGGGTGGAATCAAGAGTTTTTTCTGCATCCTCTTTCTGTAATCAGCAAAAAGTCAGCCAAACATTTCTAGCCCCCTCCAGTATAACATTTAGGCACTTAATGAGCAGGATTAATGCACATGCTTAAATTTAAGGATATTTTTAAGTGCTATGCTTTGAACTGAGCTGTAGAGTGATGATTAAAGACAAATCGCAAACATTTGTGAATTTCTGGACTCATCTATATAAACTGTGTAATCTGCAGGCTTGGATTCACTTCTGGGAGGTTAATTACCTTCCATCTTCTGTTGTTTTATTTGTCCAAAGCAATGTTGCATCTTGTCTTCCTCCTTTGCTTCAAGCTAGCAGAGCAGATACCATGAGCTAGAGCCAGACTGCAGCACGATGTGAAAGTTGGAGAGGGGCCCCTCTTGGTGAATTCACAGGCTTGCACACATGTGTATCATGTGAGCAGAGCACAAAATGTTTGTGTCACCTGAGCTGACACAGAGCAAGGAGTAAATGCTCAGATCCGTTCTCCGTGTAACACGAGAACTACGAACTGCCTCCATCTCTGTCTAAACTCCTGTGCATGTATAGATATTTTATGGTAAGGAAATAAAGAAATTGAAGTAGGCTTACAAACTGAAGTTGAATGGGCAAAGGGTTAATGACTTAGAGCTGTTAGTACAGATTAAGGAAAACTATGAAAATTTCTAAGAAACATTTACAAAAAATAGGATCTAAATTCTATCAGGTGTGTAATTTCTTTGCTTATGCATTGCCATTTGCATTGCCAGTTCAGATTATGAATGGTTCGAGATGCCAAGCACACATTTAGTTTACTGGTGTTCTCAGTTCTGACTGCTTTACTGAGTGCTTAACTTTTGGTGGTTTTCTCACCAAAATGGGGTGATTGTCTGAAAAATCTCAGTTGCTGTTCTCAAGTAAAGTTCAGTTCTAGTTCTCCATCACAGAAGCAGGCTTGAAAACTTGAACTTTGAGGTGGTAATCATCAGAAGAAAAGATTTAAAAAACCTGATACGTATTTTAATAATGTAATTATATTTAATTGTTTTATAAAGTTTGAGGCAATGCAAAAAGTCGTATGTAAGTGTTTGAGACTGGCAACGCTAGATGCCATAGCCTAACAATTCCGGTTTATTTTTACATAATTTGGGAAGTATACTTCACAAGCAAAGTAGCTGATAAGAGGTAAGAGAAGAACAAAAAGCCTAAAGTTTGCCCAGCAGCCCTCCAGTAGCTGACAGAATTTACTTTGTCTCTTTATTGCTATGGCTAAATTTTAAAAGCAATTACATCATTTAAATGTCTCCGTTATATAAAATGGATTATAATTCCATATGTATTTGTTGATGTGTGAGTTCGGTGTGTTTCTTATTTATTACCACATCTTTATTTTATTCCTTTTTTATCATTTCTCACTTTGAGACTCTTGTCTCATTTTTACGTTTGGGGGATTTTGCTTGTCAGCTTTCCCCTTTTCAGAACTGTAGCATTTGTTTCTTTCATTTCTTGATGTAAACACTCCAGTCGCCTGAAGGGTAGCTTCGAGCAGTCCTTTGTGTGACTAAAAGAAATTAGCTAAATAACTCTGTTTAATTAATTTCAGGACCGCCTCTTTTTCGTCATGGAATATGTAAATGGAGGGGACTTAATGTTTCAAATCCAGCGCTCACGCAAATTTGACGAACCTCGATCCCGCTTTTATGCAGCAGAGGTCACATCAGCACTCATGTTCCTTCACCAACATGGCGTCATCTACAGGTACTTGGTTTTTTTTGATCAAAAGTAAAGTATTCCTGAGGCTTGGTGTTGCCTGAAAACCGCTGTTACTTAGCAACTAGATTTAGATTAGTTGTTTGTTCCAATTTGCTTACATAGACCTTTTTTTGGCTGTTCATCATGGAGAACGTTAACATTTGAATAGCTCCGCAGCAGTCGCCAGCTGTGTGTGCCAGTTCTGTACTAGAGTCCAAATAAAGCGGGTTTGAAAAGCTTGGCAGGCTGCAGCCCAGAGGTGACCTTTCTGCAGATCGGCGCGGTCTCTTCACTCTCCTCTCGGTGCCATAGATTTCCTCTGGGTCTCTAACTCCCTGCCACTTCCTGAGTTTGTTTGTCCTAGTTGTCTCCACTCCGATACAATCGGGATGGCCGTTTGCAATGCTTTACTTATGCCCCTTCCTCTGGACTGTTTGGGTGAAGGCTTAGTCACCAGCAGGAAGTGGCTCTTTGCAGACAATTTTCATTTGCTTGCAAGTGCCTGCATTTGTTTTGAACCTCTGCCCTCACCCCCTAATCTCTAATCTTCAGCACCCATGCCCACAGAATAAAGTGCATTCTGTTGTGCTGTGGTAAGGAATATATTTGTGGGTAGGCTTTCATTATTGAAAGTAAGGAATCACTTTAAAAATTTTCACACTGACGTTAATGTGTTTATTAAGTCCTTTATCTTGTCATTTCACCCTTCCTCTCTTTTTATTTGTTTTAAGCAGCCTGTCATTGCCTGTGATTAATTCAGGCTTTCACAAGCAGTGTGCTTTACAGGTTTTGTGATGCAGGTCTGTCCTGTCTACTAAAATTTCTGAGTTCTGTGGATTGAACTGAGTTTTGAAAGTCTCTTGATATTCTCACCCTCTTTCAGGTTATCAGTTTTGATTTGGGGTAGTCGTTTCAGGGACAGGCAGTCTCAAACTTCTTGAGCAGAAACATCAAGATGAGGATGTAGAATTTGTCACATCCCTGGATTCATATTAAGGCTGATCTTAAGAGTATTAGAAACTTAAAGAAGTTAATTTTAAATGTTTAGTAGCCAGAACTGAGTGGTGAGAGCATCATAGGCCATTGGCTTTCCCATGACCTGGGATTCAAAGGGAAGCTTCTCAGAGAAGGAGTCTTCTTTCCAGAGACATAGCAAACAGCAGAACATTACACCTTCGGAGGAAAATACATCTCTCTGAAACTGGTCTTTCAGTCAAAAATCCATTTTTCTTTGGAAAACTTTTTTGCTAGCTGCAGCTCTTGATGTCCATCTTTCATTAACACTGGTGTGATGTTTGCATACTGGGTTGGACTTTCAGCCCTACCACTTTGCATAAGTTTGTTTTCAAGTGCTGAAGATCCTACATAGTTCTTACCTTTGCTACCTGTATCACATTTCTTATTCATTGTCTGTGTTTATTTCTATAGCAATGTATTTGTATATTTAGCTAGTAGAACATGGCAACTTCAGAATTTTTAAGAATCCATTATGAGGGAAACAGACAGCATTGGTGCTTTAAAAAGCGAAGGATTTTGATAATTTGTTTCCTTAAAAGGTCTTGAGCTTATTTCTTCTTCCTGAAAATGGGAGTTTAGACACTTTGTAATTAGCAGTCAGTGTAGGTATTTGAGAACCACCAAGAAAGAATTAGTAAAATTATCTTCCCCCTTCTTTATGTGAGTGTGCATTCATTCTCCCTCTTCCCTCCAATCTCCTCTACTTCAACATACATCCTCATGCACCTCCTCTCTTCCTCTTTTCTCCCTCTTTTCCCTTGTCTTACATGTGGCTTCTGCTGCATGTTGGCTTCTAGCTGCATTGAATGGCTCTGTGTGCCTGTGTTCTTTCTGTGAGTTTTTATCATCAAAACACTTCGATCCCAAGAGAAATGTCATTCTGATGAGACAATGCTTTGCAAGATACTCTCAACTTGATTCAGAAACTATGCTGACATGTCTTTGGCATGCTACAGTAAAACTAAAATTGTAAACGGCATGTTTTATTGGTTGTATTATCAGAAGAAGCAGAAGAAGAGAAATAACATGAGTTACAGGATGAAACTAGGAACTCAAAAAAGAAACAACGTTAGGAACAGATTTAGTTGTATTCTGCTTTGGCACAGGCATTTGGATCTGGATGTAGTTAGGTCCGTAAGAATAACTGATTTTCCCAACTAGGGGATGCTACCAGCTTCAACGGTTCATAAAATGTACATCCCAGGTACTCTATAAAATACAAGTAGAAAGAAGAAGTTATAGATTATCTTAACAGAATTAATAATTGTAAGAAAATGTCACCATTCATTCATAGTGTGCCAGGCCCTGGGAAAATGCATTTGTTGGTATGTTAGAATAGTTGTCTTGCAGAGAAAAGGTTCAGTCTGATTTTTCCATACCTCACTGCATCAGTTATTACAGTGTTAAAAATGCACTGGGATCAAGTCACTCCTTTACATCTCCAAAGCTCTTATTAGCTGGCAAACAAGGAAAGGAAACGGGGGTAAAAAAGAAAAGAAAAAGGGTGGGGAGGGGGAAATTAAAAAATAAATAAGAGAAAAGAAAACATGTGCTTCTGAATAACTAGCAATCATAACTACCTGAAGTGCCTTCAGATATTTTAATAAAGAGTACTTGTCTTCAGTGTAATTATATTTCTAGAAAAAACATTGTGGTGTGAAATTAATGGTTATTCTCCAAAGTGGGAAATGCTGCTTGTGTGGGCAATACTTCAAGGAAAATGGGGAACATATAAATAAACTAAGGTGTTTGATGGAAATACAGGTTTCAAAATAGCTGCTATACCTTCTGATCTTTTTTCAGCAGTGTATGTGGAAGTATTTGTTTGGAGCTAAACATAGTTATATTTTTGGAAGTAAATAACTACCTTTAGCTCATGCTTTGGCTTGTTGGTTAGATTTTTAGAAAGTCCTATGATGATACTAAATGATCATCTTTTATAATAACTAGCTTATCCTCATTTCCCCTGAAGTTCAAAGAGAGAGCCAGCTCGCTGTTTGGCAATAGAAATTATTCTGCAAGTTCACATCTTTGCAACTGGCCCAACAGTTGTTCTCAGACTTGCCCAATTATCTGTGTGCTCACTGGAAATACGTACCACCCCTTTGTTTATTGAGTTTATGTTGGAAATAATGATGAACCTCACCATTTACATATATATATAAAGATGCTGCCGTTACTAAATGCATTTTGTATGGTAGATAAACTTCATGATAATTTTCAGTGTGGCATTTTTCAGGGTATAATGTTGCTGCTGTTGTGTCAAAAACACTTCAACAACTTCACAAAAATATTTGCATTATCCGTGCCACCTTCCCTCTCATCTGGCATTCAGCTGTCAAGGCACATGTTAAGCTGGGACCTGATAATACAAGTGCAGTCAATCAGACACCAGAGAAGTTTCAGTTGCAGTTTCTGGCAATCATTTTTGTTTGTGTTATGCAATTGCACCACTTTGAAAAAATGTATCCAAGCTTCAGGAATTAAGGGCTAGGCTGCAAATCTCATTTTGCCTGTGAGCTGAACTGGACTTTGAACTTGGTGATGAAAGGTTGTGGACTGTGTTCACTGTCGCCTGTCCCTGTAGCCTGGTATTTTTGAAGTTAGTCATCATCAGCTTAATATATGTTGTCATACAGGGAAGGTGCAACAAACTGAGTGTTAAGAAACTGCTGGTTCCGTACAGCCCTCTTGTACTGACTTTCAGCAGTCCTGTGCACTTTCCACAGGTGCCTGTAAATGTTACGTGTTCTTGTTTCCTCTGCAGCTGTTGGCCTTAGGACAGGAGTACCCAGGTGGGTGTCTCTGACTCTCATGGTAGGAGTTCAAGTGAGGTGACACAAGTGGACCCCTCTGGCCCAAAATACGTACATAGAACTGTTGTCTCCCCAGGCAGGGACATCAGCAGTAGAATGGGATACTACTTCATTAGCATAAGTACCACTGTCCCCAGTCCATATTTGGTTTAGGGAGTAATTGTGTAAGCTACAAACCTTGTTTCAGTGAAGATCCAAAGGGCCGCTAGTTGCATGGCGTGTGATCTCTGGTGTGCTCCAAGACCATTCAAGTGGTTAAGTGGGGTGCTCTCTCTGATATACAAAAGAAGGAAAATGAATATACACGATACCAGTTCACCTGAGAGGGTGAAAAATATCTTAAGTGGGAAATTGGTGTCGTCTGCTTCAGGTTAACGCGTTCTTTTCGTTTCAAATGCGAGGTCTGTGAGATGTTGCCTTCAAGTAGCACAGCACCAGGTCATACAGCAGTCCTCATTTTTAACTATGGGTTATCATGGTCCTCAGCAATATGAAGTAATAATCCAGCCTGTAACTTGTTGCAGCTTTCTGAGGCTCTGTGCACTCTGTAATTAGTATGTTGGTCATGATGAAGGATATATTAACACTGAATTGATGAGAATACAAATATAAATATACTGATGACAATCCTTGAATACCTGCAGGCTTTTTCCACACACAAATACCCTAAGAACTTGTTTGAACACTAACTGAATTTTTTCCATGAATGATCAGTTTTCCCAGCATTCCCATTTATCAGGGCAACACATGCCAAGGTTCCAGAAAGAAGAACTACCTAAAATTAAAAGCACTTTCATTAGTGTGTTTTTATGTGAAATAAGAATATTTAGAAAGTCTGACTTCACTGGCGGTTGTATGATTCAGTGCAACCTTGGCAGAGTAACGAAGAGTTATATTTACATTGATGAAAATGTTGCATGGTCAGTGGTTAAGATGTTAAAAGTCATCCTTCTCCCAAGTTGCCTTACTCTGTTATTTCTGAGTAGCAGCAGCCAAATAAAATTCCCCTCCCCCACTACCTTTTTTTCTTTTCCTTTTTAAAATACAAAACTAGACATGAAGCATTTTGATTTAAATTTGGTTTTAAGTATGTAAAGATGATCTTACTGCAACTCTAAACAGTTAAAGGTCAAATTGGTGCTTGAGCTATGGTCCATGAAGGAGGGCCAAAAA